TGGGTTAAAGTTTCACCGAAGAGATTTGGATTTCAACAGTTGGATCTTCTGTTGTCTGGGTTTTCGTGAAGCTGGTCGTCACAGTTCTTCAGCAGTGTTGTCTTGAGTGTTTGGTAAATTTGATGGTGGGATCTTCTCTGTTTGAGCTGAAATTTGGTAGAAGTGTTGTTGACTTGTTTATCTTGGATTTGTACGGTGGGATTAGTCTCTGGTTGCCGGAATCCTTGTGAGCTGAGGTCGTTTGGTTTCTGCCAGTTTTGAAGCTTTGTGTTAGTCTCTCTTGTTGTTGTTCTTGTGTTGGAGATGGCTATTTGTAGCTGAGTCTTTGTTATGTTCAGGTTGTTGAACAGGGAGGACGTGGTTGTCCTCACATAAATTTATATAGTGTATTATTGAGTTGACTACGGTCCCGTGGTTTTTCCTTCTCACATCGAGGAGGTTTTCCACGTAAAAAGTGTTTGTCTCATTTAGTTTCTGCTTATATTATATCCTGCTATTGTCGAAGTATTTTCCTCATAGATTCACACAAGGTCAGGGGAACTTGAACACATATTACGCTGCGCCGTGTCCCGTTTTCCCCCCAACATTGTGGTGTCAGAGCTTCTAATTTTCTTAGAGCTTTGGGTTTTATAACTTCGAGTTATTGTTGCTTGTGTGAATGATGGAGAATATGGTAACAAACATGGCCAGGATGATAAGCTTGAATGGTGCTAATTATCATCTATGGAAGAGAAAGATGGAGGATCTTCTCTTTGTTAAAGAATTCCATTTTCCCGTATTTCAGGAGAAGAAACCTGATAACAAGATGGATGATGAATGGAAGTTGCTGCATCGCCAAGTGTGTGGGTTGATAAGGCAGTGGGTAGATGATAATGTGTTGCATCATACTGAGACTGAGATTGATGCTCGTTCTTTGTGGTTGAAGCTGGAGCAGTTATATGCTAGAAAGAATGTAAATAACAAGATATACATGATCAAGAAGTTGATTGAGCTGAGGTATCAGGACGGAACTCCAATGACGGATCATCTGAATGAGTTTAAGGGATTGCTTAACAAGTTTTCTGATATGGGCATCAGGTTTGATGATGAGATTCACGGTCTTTGGATTCTAGGTACTTTACCAGACTCTTGAGAGGTTTTCAGGATGTCACTTTGTAACTTCGCGTCGGAAAGTGTTATTTCGATGGATCCAGTGAAGAACAATGTTCTTAATGAGGAAGTAAGAAGGCAGTCGAATGCTAGTACTTCGCGTTCAGATGTCTTAGTTACTGAGTTAAGGGAGAGAAGTTCACATAGAGATTCCAAAAGGGGAAAGAACAGGAACATGAGTAAGTCTAATAGATTTTCAAATTTGGAGTGATATTTCTGTCATAAGAAAGGGCACGTGAAGAAGGATTGCTGGAAGCTGAAAAACAAACAACAAGGTAATCAAGAAGAAAAGGTGGATCGGGTGACCGTCACCGAAGATCAGTTTCCCATTCTTCTTGAAGGTGACGCCATTAATGTCGCATGCCAAGACACCAATTGGGTGATTGATAGTGGAACTACTACTCATGGCACATCACAGCGGGATTTGTTTTCTACCTATACTACGGGTAATTATGGTTCCGTGAAGATGGTGAATGATGGTTCGGCTCAGGTTGTTGGCATTGGTAATATCTTCTTAGAGACTAGTCTTGGGAGTAGGCTGGTGCTTAAGGATGTTAAGCATGTTCCTGATATTCGAATGAATCTGATATCAACGGAAAGACTTGATAATGAGGGTTTCTACAGTTTGCACGGTGGTGGTAAATGAAAGCTCTCTCGTGGTTCTTTGATTGCTCGGGGTGAGAAGTCTTCAACTTTCTATTGGATGCAGGCTAAGGTCTCTAAAGATGCTATTAATGTGGTGGAGAATGATAATTCCATGGAGTTATGGCATAAGAGACTCGGTCACATGAGTGAGAAGGGAATGGTTGTGTTGTCTAAGAATGAGGTGATTCCAGAAATCTATGGTCTGCACCTGCAGAAGTGTTCACATTGCTTTGCGGGAAAATAACACAGAGTATCTTTCAAGTCTTATGCGCCTTCTAGGAAACCAAAGGTACTGGATTTGGTGATGTGTGTGGTCCAATGAAGACAAGATCTCTTGGCGGCACATCATATTTTGTGACTTTCATTGATGATCATTCAAGAAAGTTGTGGGTATTTCTTATGAGGACAAAAGATCAGGTTCTTGGATATTTCAAGCATTTTGTGGCATTAGTTGAGAGACAAACGGGAAAGAAGCGGAAGTGTATCCGCAGTGATAATGGTGGAGAGTATTCTGGACCATTTGATACTTATTGCATAGAGCATTGTATAAGGCATCAGTTCACGCCGCCTAAGACTCCACAATTAAATGGGTTGGCTGAAAAGATGAACATAACGATTGTCGAGAGGATGAGATGTTTGATCTCACAGTCAGGCTTATCGATGACATTCTAGGGAGAAGCTTTGAACACGGTGGTTCATGTGCCAAATTTGTCACCGAATGCTCCATTGGAGGGTGATATTCCAGAGAGGGTTTGGACTGGTAAGAATGTTTCTTACAGTCATTTAAGGGTCTTTGGGTGTAAGGCGTTTGTTCATATTCCCAAGGATGAGAGATCGAAGCTTGAGATAAAGTCACGGCAGTGTGTGTTCAACGGTTATGGTCAGGAAGAGTTTGGGTACAGGTTTTATGATCCCGTTGAGAAGAAGCTCGTAAGGAGCAGAGATGTTGTGTTCATAGAAGATCAAACGATAAAGGACATTGACAAGTCCAGAAATCCAACTCAGGTTTTTGAGGGTTTGATCGATACAAAGGCTACTCCTTCTACATCGGTCCACGGTGAATTTGAGGTTGAAGTTCAGGATGATACACCCAATGAAAATGCTCCCGCACATGAAGATGGTAGTGGTCATCATGGTGACGAGTATGGTGAGACACCAGCAGCTGAGAACCAACCTACTGTTGTTAGAAGATCCGAGAGGGTCTTAAACCATCAACAAGGTATGATCCTAGTGAGTATGTTTTACTTACTGATGGGGGAGAGCCTGAAAGCTATGATGAAGCTTTGGAGGATGAATACAAGGATATGTGGTTTGGAGCCATGGATGAGGAGATGGATTCTCTTAAAGAGAATCATACATTTGAGTTGGTGAAATTGCCTAAGGGCAAAAAAGCTCTGCTTAATAAATGGGTGTTCAGAATTAAGCATGAGGATACAGGTTTGCCACCTAGATCCAAGGCTTGATTGGTTGTGAAAGGCTACAGCCAAAAGAAGGGGATTGATTATGATGAAATCTTTTCTCATGTTGTGAAGATGTCATCCATTCGGGTTGTTCTTGGATTGGCAGCGAGCCTTGATCTAGAGGTTGAGAAAATGGATGTGACGACTGCTTTCATTCATGGTGATTTGGAGGAAGAGATCTACATGGAACAACCAGAAGGCTATGTGAAAAAGGGCAAGGAAAATTTGGTTTGTCGTTTGAAGAAAATCCTTTATGGATTGAAGCAAGCACCGAGGCAATGGTACATGAAGTTCAAGTAGAGGCAGAATTTCAGAATTTCATGTACAAGAAAGGAAACTTAGATAAAAGAGAGAAGGAGGCAGAATTTTGTCTGGATTTGTCAAGGCAGATTTGGATGGTCAAACGGATTCCTTTTTGAGCTGATATTTTGTAGGAAGCTTCTTCGGTCAGTGGGTTAAAGTTTCACCGAAGGGATTTGGATTTTGACGGTTGGATCTTCTGTTGTCTGGGTTTTCGTGAAGTTGGTCGTCACAGTTCTTCAGAAGTGCTATCTTAAATGTTTGGCAGAAGTGTTGTTGACTTGTTTATCTTCGATTTGTACGGTGGGATTAGTCTCTGGTTGCCGAAATCCTTGTGAGCTGAGGTCGTTTGGTTGCTACCAGTTTTGAAGTTTTGTGTTACTCTATTGTTGGTGTTCTTGTGTTGGTGATAGCTGTTTGTAGCTGAATCTCTGTTCTGTTCAGGTTGTTGAACAGGGAGGACGTGGTTGTACTCACATACATTTATATAGTGGATTGTTGAGTGGACTACGGTCCTGTTCTTTTTCCTTCTCACATTGAGGAGGTTTTCCACGTAAAAAGTGATTGTCTTATTTAGTTTCTGCTTATATTTCCTACTATTGTCGAAGTAGTTTTCTCATAGATTCACATAAATTCATGGGAATTTGAACACATAATCTACTGTGCCGTGTCTTTTTTTCCCAACAATAAGGTCTATCTTCTAATTAATGACCTGGAATCAGCTTGTACTAATAGTTGAAACTTGACGAAAAAATATTTTTCTCACTGAAACTTGAATTAAGAGCACAACAAAACTGATTCATGCGCCTAATCACTAATTTCTTTTATTTGGTAGAATTTTAAGTTAATTCAGAGGAATTCATATTTTCTTAAGTTTTTGAAACGAATTTAGAGAATTAGACGTTGATGAATATTTTGCCTTTTCGTAGTTTACTTGTAAGTCGCACAATGCTAGTAAATAAAATTGAGTGAACCTGAAGAACCATATATGAATGTAAATCAAATGGTATGTTTTTCATCGCATATCAAATCAATATTGTGTAAATATAGTTTAAGACTGTGTTATCTTCTTTTTTTTTTTTTAACGACAACTAAGACCTTTATTAACATGAAATCTTGTCAAAATACAATATGGTATTTAAGACTGTATCATCTTGTGAATTTCATACATTCTTTGTATACCTACTTCTAGGTCTTTTACCCAAAAAGCATGAGTAATCATACATCTCTAGAGAAGTAATGTGAATTGGCGAAGCCCAATTTGTAAAAAAGAAATAAAATAAAGCTCAATTTGGAAAGTGCAATATTTGCGACAACACGTATGTTGTCCAAAACCTCGACACTAGTAGACCAAATATTTGTTCAGGTCCAATAATTGATAATCTGCATAAACAAGGCTTACACCATTTTCTATAATCATACGCTTCCACTAGAGTGAATTGAATTGTTATTGTTCACAACGTTAAATATTTCATTCGTCCAAACAATTATTTTTTCACACCACAATGTTTAGCACCAATACGTCATCTTTTTATTTGTAACTACAATCATAATATGCACAAAGAACCTGAACATAGCGTTCGATCATAACAATCCATCAATGTATGTTTTCAGTAAAGATCAAGAACGTCAAAGATGGAACGGTTACAAAGAGGACAGGATCCACGGTTTATCCAAATCTCTCTTGAACATACTCTACAATACGTATGCCCACATGGGATAAACGCCGCCCCTTTCTCCCTTCCCATACACACGCAACACACTGGATCAGAACCCGTCCACGTGGACGCATCGCTACCCTCCGTTTCCGCCAGCAATTTCATCAACGGTACCTTAGCGACCGAAGCCTCCGTCAGTTGCTCGCCCCGCGCTAGTCTCTCCTCCGCAAGAGCCTCCGCGAGATTCCTTGTGCCACGTGTTAAAATATCCGTCTCCACAACCACATCCGGATCCGGACCAGAACCAGAAAAGTCAACGACCGGGTTTTGACCCGTGTTTTCCTCTTCTTCTTCCTCGGCGATTGGCGCTTCCGATCCTGTGAGACGCAAGGTGGGCCCAACGCAACAGCCAACCCAGTCAAATCTCAGCCGTTGTTTCAGCGTACTCCACTTACTCGTCGCTCGATCTTCACCGTCGGTTCGATCTTCCTCGAGTAAGCTCAGTATCATCGTCCTCCCACTTCCGGTTTCATCCGCAGATTCTCTGAGCAAATCGCCGAGCTGACTCATCCTGGCTCGGACACGAACAAGAACCCAAAAACAAACAAGTATAAGTAACCGTTTTGGATGTTTTACGTCCGCTCAAACTCACGAGAAATATTAAAGCTGGCTCCAAATCAATAAATGCTAATGCAGGACTCTGGTTTCCTGAGTTCTTTGCGATTAAGTTGATCACAAATTTGTATATAAATATCAATTATTATAATTTTCTACTATAAACTATTTTATACTGATATTACATTGTAGAAATGGAGAAAATGACAAAATTAAGAGAAGAAAAAAAAAAGAAAATATTAACAGTTAGTGGGAACCACTCATCAGTAACGTATTGACTTGCATTTTGTAATATTAGGGAAATCGCACGTATATTTCATTTTCAATGATCTTATTTTATTATTTGTTACCTAATTATTGTCATTGGTTGGGGTTTTGTTTTCGTTTTAAATAAAATTATCTGTATGTTAGGGAAGCATCAATTGTCAATTGTGTTGCTTCTTCAAACCAAATTCCTTAATCCTTATACAATTCAATGGTTGAAGGCAACTTTTGATACTATCTTATAAAATTTAAAAGGGAAAAGTCGTTAAAAATACAGACTGAATTTCTTTTGTTAAAAAAATATATTAACTTCTTAGACTTCCCAAAAAATATACAGACTAATTTTGGTTGTCCTCAAAATACATGAACTTTGAATTTTGAAGGTTTCACACCTCAATTTTCACGACGTTAACTCTGATTAATAGGACATTTAGACGCCGTTAGACGATGTTAACTCTGATTCAAAAGTTCATGTATTTTATAGACAACCAAAATTAGTTTGTGTATTTTTCGGGAGGTCTAAAAAGTTGATGTATTTTTTTAGCAAAAGAAATTCAGTTTGTGTATTTTTAAGGAATTTTCCCATTGAAAATTGATCTTAAGAGTAATTAATTCGGATCCAACAAATATTAATAGAGAATTCGTCCAAAAAAGCACGAATTTTACACGAATTGCCAAATAAAATCTGAATTCGGAGCTGACCAAAAAATACTATACTTTCTTTGACTTTTTAATTTTATTTGAGAACTTGTCATTGACTCGCCATTTTAACACATCGTGATCTTACAGTGTAAACGCCATTATTTTAACGTTAAATATCGACGTTAACTGAAATGTCGTCGTTTTGTGTGCTTTTAAAATGAAAAACATGTCTATCTCAGGACTCGAACTCAAGAACTCAAAGTCAAATAACATGGTATTTTGCCACTGAGCTAACGACACTTTAATGAAATATCTAACATATTTCCTTTTATTGAGTATCCAAAAAATCTTTAAAAACCTTAAAATTTTGTAAGATTCGAAAAAATCAAGAAAATTTCTGAAAATACTAAAATAATAAATGTAAAATTTTATCAATAATAATGTAGTATGTGTATTTTTAAGGAATTTTTACGAATATACTAAGGTGACAAAGACATTGTTTTTTTTGTTTGAATGAAAAATATAATTGAATATATTTTGTTCATGTTAAGGCCGTTTTTTTTGGAGTCGGTTCGGATCTATAATTAAAATACGTGTAAAAGACCGGTGATTTTTGGATCTGTATCATGTGATAGACAATGTGTTTTTGTTCAAGTCTTTGGTTCGGGTTTGGACCGGTTCTTAGATCCGAATATCTTATATCCAAAAGACCTGGATCCAAAAAGAACCGGCCCAAACCCGACCCAAAGACCCGAACAAAAACACATTCTCTATCACAAGATTCATATCCGAAAATTACCGATATTTTACACGTATTTCAATTAAAGATCCGAATCGACCCTAAAAGAACCGACTTCAACATGAACCAAATATATTCAAAATTACATTTTTCATTCAAACAAAAAAACTATGTCTTTGTCCCCTTAGTATATTTTTGAAAATTCCTTTAAAATACACATACTAATTTTTCTTTGCTGAAAAAATTCACGAACTTTTTGGGTTTCCCAAAAAATACACAAACTAATTTTGGTTGTCCATAAAATACATGAACTTTTAAATCAGAGTTAACGTCGTCTAACGGCGTCTAAATGTTCTGTTAATCAGAGTTAACGTTGTTAAAATCAAGGTGTGAAACTTCCGAAATTCAAAAGTTCATGTATTTTGTGGACAACCAAAATTAGTCTGTGTATTTTTCGGGAAGTCTAAAAAGTTGGTGTATTTTTTTGGCAAAAGAAATTCAGTCTGTGTATTTTTAAGGAATTTTCCCAATTTAAAATTACTAGGGTCGGCCCGTCCTACGGGAGGGTAATTATAATAAAAATAATTTTATATGAATTTATTTTAGTTTATGAAGCATTAAAAAAAATCATTGTCAAATGAAAAAATATTAGAAACCAAAATTAATGAATAAAATTTTGAGATCATATTGTTATTTTAATGAATATTTTGGTTTGAATTAAAATGATAATAACCTTCATTATTCTTTATTTTTCGAAAATAATATATTAGCAAATAATTCAGAAAATGAATAAAAATTGTTGATATGTTACAATACATGAAAATATGTTTTGTAAGTAGCCTTAAAATTGTAATGGCTGTTAAAATTGTTAAAACGTCATAAAGAAAGATGTAATAAAAGAAATTAAAATATTTGACGATATTTAAGAAGACGAAATATTTACCAGAATATTTACCATAGTACAATCCTAATAGGAATGGTGTTAAGAACAACTCTTGTTTTTGAGCCATAATAACAGCTCTTATTTTTGTGTTCTCTCTTTTTCTTCTCATCCATTCCATCTTTTTGGTTTTTCTATTTCCTACAACCGATGCTGATCATTAGAATGGCATGATCTTTCATTTTCTCTACTCATTTTCTTTTTTAATTAACTCATTTGGTCTTTGTTTTTTTTTTTTTTTTCTCTTTTGTTGTCAATTTTACTATCTTCTATTTTTCATAAGCCAATTCTAAGACATTCAGGTGGATGGTATTGTCCGGCTTTAAGGTCATTTTAGAATTAATGGTTTTGCAATCTTGCTCATCTGGTCCTGAAAAAGCCTTTGTACTGTTTAGATATTTAGAACCTTTTGTATTTTTTTTTGGTCAAACTGATGAAACTTTTTTATGCTCCTCTAGTCTGTCAGTTGGAGTTTTAAGTGTGCCCGTTCTTGTAGCGTAGGTGCTTTCTCATTAAGGTCATCGCAGTTATTATGATGAACATAGATGCAAGCACTTGCAGGTTTACGTCCCGTGCCAGATCTCTTTGGCTACCTTTTCTCATGTTCTTTACTTAACACTTATATGTGAACATCAATTATAACTTTGATTGATTTCCCAATCTGCATCACACTTTTAGCAGCTTTCACTAGTAAAAAAAATCAAAATAGCTACGGTACATTCGTAGCAAATCGTAGCTATATGGAGAGTTTGCTACGAATTTCCGTAGCTATTCGTAGCAAGCTCTCTATATAGCTACGATTTTGCTACGAATGTACCGTAGCTATTTTGGTTTTTTTTTACTAGTGTTTTGTGATTGATTCAATTGTTCAGAGATTCCTCAATACTTGTTATAATCAAATATACTACAAGAAAACTCGTCATTTACTAGGACCACTTTGCCTTGTAATTTCCTAGTAAATGACCATTTACTAGGAATTTATGAGGAAACGCGTTTCCTCAAAACATGTTCATCGTAAAGTCTTTTTCCTCGTAAGGTCTTAGCTAATTTACGAGGAAAATTTTCCTCGTAAACGCGTGGATACGTTTTTCCTCGTAAAATCCTCGTACACGTTTCCTCGTAAAATTCTCGTAACACATTTCCTCGTAAAGTCATAGTAACACATTTCCTCGTAAACTCGTAGTAATGCTTTACGAGGAACTTACTAGTAAAGTTTACGAGGACTTTACTTCGAAAATATTACGAAGATTTTACTTCGAAATGTTTTTTTCCCTATTAAAAAAATATTAATTATAAATATAAATAATATATTTTACAAAAATTAAAAAACAAAATTATAAATAAAAAAGGAAATAAAAAACTATTTAATAAATAACTAACTAATATACAATTAAGTTTTAAAATTCATAATATACAATTAAAAATAAAAAAAAACTACGATGGTGGTCGTCAAATTGCCGAACGAAGTCGTCGCGGCTCGCCAACTCCTCCTCGTCCATGTTGATCATCGACGGTTGTGACTGTGATGGTGGATGCTGTTGGGTTGGGAAGCTCTCTGTTTTCCCGTCTCACACGCAACATCTCCGCCAATTGCGGGTTTCCAACCGCCAAAACGTCCAGGACATCGGTGGGAGAACTCACATAAGACTGTGTCGCCTGCAACTCTGAGCGCAGCTGAGCAGTGACATCGTGTTGTTCCTGAGCATAATACGATGTTACTATGGGGACATCGTTAACGGAGCCAATCCCGACGATACGTCCTTTTTTCCTAGGGGCGACCTGTAAATATAAAGATTAATAACGTTAAAAAAATAAATGAAATAAATAATAAAAATTAATAGAAAAACAAATTATTTACCTCCTCGTAAATCTTATCCACATTAAGAGTGGATAATATGACTGGTGTCCCAGACTGCTGAGTCAGCTGGGTTTGGCGTTCGTCAACCCAAACAACAACCTCGTTGTAGATCTGCTCGGATCTAGGATCTACAAAATGCCCAGCCTTATTCCGGTGGGTCCTCTCGTAAATCTCTTTCAGAGAAGGAAGAACTCTTGTCTCTTTAGCCTAAAAATAATTTTTAAAATTAAATATTAATTAGCAATATACAAATAGAGTAAAAATTAAATAGTTATTAAAAATTAACTTACCATGTCTAGACGAATTCCCCCGTGAGGTTTTCGACCCCCGGTGTGAAGCATCTTCGTGTTGCCATGCTCGTCTCTTGTCATGCGGTTCTCGGAGTTTGTGTGGGAGGTTCTGACCGTGTCCGGCAACCCCAGGCCATCCCACACGTCGAATGTGAGGCAATCGGGTTTCCCTTCCTCGTAACCATCCACCTGAACAAAAAATAATTTTAAAATGATTTAAATTAAAAATTCAATGATATAAAACTATAGATATATAATTTATAAATCCATACCTGAAAGTCGCCCTTCCAGTTGTAGACCATGTCAAGCAATCGTGCTTTTGACTTCGCCTCAAACTCCGTCTTCACCCGCTGGTGAATCCCTATAAACCAACAATGA